AGCAATTAGCCTGTCTTTCTTTCTTCTTCTTTTCCAAGCCTCGGTATCCAGAGGATGTGAGATACAAGTCGATCAGATAGATGTCAGCGGTATATTGAAGCGGGGTGGGAGGTGGGAGGGTTGAAAGGAAGGGAGTTATGGGGAGAAAATGATATGAAATTAGTGTTTTATGAGCTTTTTGTAATGTTATATTTTACAATATGGAAATGTGTATCGTTTTACTTGAAAAATAAATAAATATTTAAATAATAAAAAAAAAAGAAGGAAGTCAACTGCAGGTCAAATGCAGGTTAGAAGGAAGTCAAATGCAGGTGCAATGTAGGTTAGAAGGATGTCAAATGTAGGTTTAAAGGATGTCAACTGCAAGTCAAATAGAGTTTCGAAGGAGGGCAAATGCAGGTTAAAAGGAAGTCAATTGCAGGTCAAATGCAGGTTAGAAGGTGGTCAAATGCAGGTTAGAAGGAATTCAACTGCAAGTAAAAAGCAGCTTAGAAGGAGGGGAAATGCAGGTTAGAAGGACATCAGCTGTAGGTCAAACACAGGTTAGAAGGAAGTCAAATGCAGATCAAATGCAGGTTAGAAGGACCTCAAATGTAAGTTAGAAGGAGGTTAAATGCAGGTTAGAAGTAATTCAACTGCAGGTCAAACACAGGTTAGAAGGAGAGAAAATGCAGGTTAGAAGGACATCAACTGCAGGTCAAATGCAGCTTAGAAGGAGAGGAAATGCAGGTTAGAAGGACATCAACTGCAGGTCAAATGCAGGATATAAGGAAATCAACTGCAGGCCAGATGCAGGTTAAAAGGAGGTCAAATGCAGGTTAGAATTAATTCAACTGCAGGTCAAACACAGCTTAGAAGGAGAGGAAATGCAGGTTAGAAGGACATCAACTGCAGGTCAAATGCAGGATAGAAGGAAGTCAACTGCAGGCCAGATGCAGGTTAAAAGAAGGTCAAATGCAGATTAGAAGTAATTCAACTGCAGGTCAAACACAGGTTAGAAGGAGAGGAAATGCAGGTTAGAAGGACATCAACTGAAGATCAAACGCAGGACAGAAGGAAGTCAACTGCAAGTCAAATAAGGTTTAGGAGGACGGCAAATGCAGGTTAAAAGGAAGTCAACTGCAGGTCAAATGACAGTTAGAAGGAGGTCAAAGGCAGGTTAGAAGAAAGTTAACTGAAGGTCAAATGTAAGTTAGAAGGATGTCAACAGCAGGTCAAATGCAGGCTAGAAGTAAATCAACTGCAGGTCAAATGCAATTCAGGAGGAGGTCAATTGCAGGTGAAATGCAGGTTAGAAGTACATGACAGTCCATGCAGTGAGGCTTAAAGGATCTGGTGTGAATGTGATAAATGGGTTAGGAATCATTCCGCCAGCTTTGAGGTTTCAATACTCCATGAGCTTGTAGATGGATCCCACACACATGACACCTACATACTTATATTGGTCCCAGCCAGGGGTGGACTGACAACTCATGGGGCCCCCGGGCAATAGGGGATCATGGGGCCCCTGTGTCCTTGCCCAAACTCAAAAAAGCCTATGAAAAAGGTACCAGGGGCATCTCATGGGGCCCCCTACTGACCCCGGGCCCTCAGGCAGTGCCCGAGTTTCCAAATGGTCAGTCCGCCCCTGGTCCCAGCTGGACCAATGTACCAATGGAAAATGTGCCATATCTGGAATTCTTCTTGAAAAAAAAAGGAGGTGCCTTTGAAACAAGCAAAGGAGCAGATTATAAGAGCACCATTAGGTTTCTATCAGGGGTGGACTGACAAATCATGGGGCCCCCGGGCAATAGGGGATCATGGGGCCCCTATGTCCTCGCCCACACTCAAATCAAACCTAAAAAGCCTATGAAAGGTACCAGGGGCATCTCATGGGGCCCCCTACTGACCCTGGGCCCTCGGGCAGAGCCCGATTTCCCATATGGTCAGTCCATCCCTGGTTTCTATGTTTGTAGAATATAAAGGTCACATCGGTAGATGATGGGACTAGGAGAGAGGGGAGCGTCTAGTAGACCCCAGTGGATTGCACAGCAGGGTCTATCTAACTGCTGGGCGAGTAGATTGATGACCTCATTGGGTTATGTTCCTTCATTGTCCAATCAGCAGGCTGGGGGATAGTCGCTGACCAAGCAAAATGATTTTACTCTACTGGTGGAGTAACGTCAGGCCAAGGACCTGGCTGTACTGTCTGGAAGTAGGACCTAGATCACAGAATTAGCCAAATAGAATGACTAACCTTTTGGAAAGTTAAGCGTACTTGTAGAGTAGAGTTCAGCCTTAACATTCCGCCAGCCAGCAGCAAGCGCCAAGTGTGACCGATCACCTTAAACTTCCTCTTATAATAAAATATTTATCTGAATAAGCCAGCGTGTAATAAAGCGGAACTGTAAAAATTAGGTGTATATAAGGAATTGTTTGGCCACTGACAGATGGATGCCACTTTTATGGGATTCTGTCTCCAGTTTTGCGGCAAAGATTTCTATCAGCGGGATTTATGGGGAAGAAATACAATTACATCAAGATCACCGAAAAGGTCTGTGCTGTCACAGTGCCCCCTAATGGACTGATAATACATTGCCAATCCAGCTAGAGAACCAAACAAATTTGATAATAATAATAATAATAATAATATTTTTTTTTTGCTCCACATGTTACACAACACTTTCCTATTTTACACGCTATTGCCATTTTTTTTCCATAAACAATGGTAGACCTCAAACATCCTTTGTTCTAATGTATCGATATAAAATATATTTACCAATTTGGCGTATTATTATTATTATTAATAATAATAATAATAATAATAATAATAATAATAATAATAATAATGGACTGATATTACATTGCCAGTCCAGCTAGAGAACCAACCAAATTTGCTTATTATTATTATTGTTATTATTATTAATATTATTATTAATATATTTTTTTTTTTTTTGCTCCACATATTACACCACGCTTTCCTATTTTACACGCCATTGCCATTTTTTTTTACCTACAATAAACAATGGTAGACCTCAAACATCCTTTGTTCTGATGTACCAATATAAAATATATTTACTAAATGTTCGTATTATTATTATTATAAATAATAATAATAATAATAATAGACTGATAATACATTGCCAATCCAGCTAGAGAACCAACCAAATTTGCTTATTATTAATATTAATATTATTATTAATATTATTTTTTTTGCTCCACATGTTACAGAAACACTTTCCTATTTTACCATTGCCATTTAGTTTTTACCACAAACAATGGTAGACCTCAAACATCCTTTGTTATGATGTGACAATATAAAATATATTTACCAAATTGGTGTATTATTATTATAAATAATAATAATAATGGACTGATAATACATTCCCAATCCAGCTAGAGAACCAACCAAATTTGCTTATTATTATTAATATTATTATTTTTTTTGCTCCACGTGTTACACCACGCTTTCCTATTTTACACGCCATTTCCATTTTTTTATCTACCACAAACAATGGTAGACCTCAAACATCCTGTGTTCTGATGTATCAATATAAAATATATTTACTAAATGTTCGTATTATTATTATTATAAATAATAATAATAATAATAATAATAATGGACTGATAATACATTGCCAATCCAGCTAGAGAACCAAACAAATTTGATAATAATAATAATAATAATATTTTTTTTTGCTCCACATGTTACACAACACTTTCCTATTTTACACGCCATTGCCATTTTTTTTCCATAAACAATGGTAGACCTCAAACATCCTTTGTTCTAATGTATCGATATAAAATATATTTACCAATTTGGCGTATTATTATTAATAATAATAATAATAATAATGGACTGATATTACATTGCCAGTCCATCTAGAGAACCAACCAAGTTTGGCGTATTATTATTATTATATTAATAATAATAATAATAATAATAATAATGGACTGATAATACATTGCCAGTCCAGCTAGAGAACCAACCAAATTTGCTTATTATTATTATTGTTATTATTAATATTATTATTAATATTTTTTTTTTTTTGCTCCACATATTACACCACGCTTTCCTATTTTACACGCCATTGCCATTTTTTTTACCTACAATAAACAATGGTAGACCTCAAACATCCTTTGTTCTGATGTACCAATATAAAATATATTTACTAAATGTTCGTATTATTATTATTATAAATAATAATAATAATAATAATAGACTGATAATACATTGCCAATCCAGCTAGAGAACCAACCAAATTTGCTTATTATTAATATTAATATTATTATTAATATTGTTTTTTTTTTGCTCCACATGTTACAGAAACACTTTCCTATTTTACCATTGCCATTTAGTTTTTACCACAAACAATGGTAGACCTCAAACATCCTTTGTTATGATGTGACAATATAAAATATATTTACCAAATTGGTGTATTATTATTATAAATAATAATAATAATGGACTGATAATACATTCCCAATCCAGCTAGAGAACCAACCAAATTTGCTTATTATTATTAATATTATTATTAATATTATTATTTTTTTTTTGCTCCACGTGTTACACCACGCTTTCCTATTTTACACGCCATTTCCATTTTTTTATCTACCACAAACAATGGTAGACCTCAAACATCCTGTGTTCTGATGTATCAATATAAAATATATTTACTAAATGTTCGTATTATTATTATTATAAATAATAATAATAATAATAATAATGGACTGATAATACATTGCCAATCCAGCTAGAGAACCAACCAAAATTTGCTTATTATTATTATTACTTTATTTTTTTTATTTTTTTTTTGCTCTTCATCTTACACAACACTTTCCTATTTTTACAAGACATTGACATTTTTTTTTTACCATAAACAATGGTAGACCTCAAACATCCTTTGTTCCGATTCATCAATATAAAATATATTTACCAAATGGGCTTATTATTATTATAAATAATAATAATAATATTTTTTTTTATTATTATTATTATTATTATTATACAGTATTATATTGATGGGGACACCTGATGTAAGGGGGGCACTCTGATGGAGGCAGCTGATGTAAGGGGGCACTCTTATGGGGACACCTGATGTAAGGGGGCACTCTGATGGGGACACCTGATGTAAGGGTGCACTCAGATGGAGGCAGCTGATGTAAGGGGGCACTCTTATGGGGACACATGATGTAAGGGGGCACTCTGATGGGGACACCTGATGTAAGGGGGCACTCTGATGGGGATACCTGATGTAAGGGGACACTCTGAAGGAGGCAGCTGATGTAAGGGGGCACTCTGAAGGTGGCAGCTGATGTAAGGGGGCACTCTGATGGGGACACCTGATGTAAGGGGGGCACTCTGATGGAGGCAGCTGATGTAAGGGGGCACTCTTATGGGGACACCTGATGTAAGGGGGGCACTCTGATGGAGGCAGCTGATGTAAGGGGGCACTCTTATGGGGACACATGATGTAAGGGGGCACTCTGATGGGGACACCTGATGTAAGGGGGCACTCTGATGGGGATACCTGATGTAAGGGGACACCCTGAAGGAGGCAGCTGATGTAAGGGGGCACTCTGAAGGAGGCAGCTGATGTAAGGGGGCACTCTGATGGGGATACCTGATGTAAGGGGACACTCTGAAGGAGGCAGCTGATGTAAGGGGGCACTCTGAAGGAGGCAGCTGATGTAAGGGGGCACTCTGATGGGGACACCTGATGTAAATAATAATTATTATGTTTATTTATTTCTTTTTGCTCTTCATGTTACACAACACTTTCCTCATTTTACACGACATTGCCATTTTTTTAAATTTTTTTTACCATAAACAATGGTAGTCTCCAACATCCTTTGTTCTGATGTATGAATATAAAATATATTTATTAATAGACAGCAGATTGGTTTTTGTTCTTGCAATGTTTTACATGTATTTGCATAATATTATACAGTCACCAGCTCCATACGTTCTATCTATGATGTGGACCCAGCATTAGATACATTTTTGTTTTCTGGTTAAAATATCACTGAAGGCAAAACTTTTTTTTTTTCATTTTGGATAGAGTAAACGAGAGTTGTAAGTTTTTTTTTTTGTTTTTTTTTGGGGGGGGGGGGGGGGGGGCATCTGTGTCCTATTGGGGAGATTTCCCTTCACGTCAGGAAGTAGGAAGAAATCCCTCCAAAGTGAGGAAATCCTGGGGTGTCACTAGAACTAGTGTCCCCATCGGCAGATTTTCCCTCTATTACATTTCTGGGGACAACCTATAATTTAGGATTTTTTTTTACTTTCACTTTCAATGATAATGGTAAAGAGGACAAATAGAGAGGGGGAATCGCGGCCACGCCTGCTGGTTTCTCTACTCTCCACCATGGCCGAATCTAGGCAGGTGCTGTTGTTGTGGACTACACCCCCCCATTTCAGTTTGCCCCCCCAGACTGGTCTTGCCATGGACGCTGTGCCTGGTCGCTGAGTGCCTTCCCCCATCCCTGCACTCACTGCTGGGACAAGGGGAGAGCAGCCTGGAGCAGTGAAGCCTACAAAGGAGAAATGACAGGAGAGAGGTGCGGGCTGTGCTCCCCTCTCCTGTCACTGGAGCCATCCTCCATACAGCAGATGGCACAGCATCGCTCTTACATCACCATGTTCAGTGTTTGATTCATTCAGTGGCTCCCTGCTGCCGAGAGATGAGTGGTCATTGGAGGAGATAGGGGGCGGGGTATTCAGATTGTGTACAAACCAATCCAAGAGCGATCCTGTGCCATCTGCTGTTTGGAGGATGGCTCCTCTGACAGGAGCGAGAGCACAGCCCACACCTCTACCTAGCTAGAGGAGGGATTTGGGGGAATTTGTCCTAGGTGGGGGGGATTAAAGGCAGAGGATTGATGATGAGAAGGGGGGAAGGGGGGTATTTGTGGTAGAAGAGGGGATTTGGGAGGGATTTGTGTCAGGAGGGGGGATTGGGGGGGTTGTCCTAGGAGGGGGGATTGAGAGGAATGTATACTAGAAGGGTGGATTAGAGAGGTTGTGCTAGGATGGGGGTTTGGGGGAGGAATTTGTACTAGGAGAGGAGATTTGGGGGGGGGGGGTTGTACTAGGATGGGGGATTTTGGGAGGAATTTGTACTAGTAGAGGGGATTGGGGGGAGGGGGATTTCTGCCAGGAGGGAGATTTGGGGGGGGGTTGTGCTAGGAAGTGGGATTGGGGGAACTCTTATGGGGACACCTGATGTAAGGGACAACTCTGATGGAAACACCAGATGTAGAGGCACTCTGATGGGGACACCTGATGTAGGGGCACTCTGGTGTGGACACCTGGGGACACCTGATGTAGGGGCACTCTGGTGGGGACACCTGATGGGGACACCTGATGTAGGGGCACTCTGATGGGGACACCTGATGTAAGGGGGCACTCTGATGGGGACACCTGATGTAAGGGGGCACTTTGATGGGGACACCTGATGTTAGGGGGCACTCTGAGGGGACACTCTGATGGGGACACCTGATGTAGGGGCACTCTGATGGGGACACCTGATGTAAGGGGGCACTCTGATGGGGACACCTGATGTAAGGGGGCACCCTGATGGAGACAACTGATGAAAGGGGGGGCACCCTGATGGAGACACCTGATGAAAGGGGGAACCCTGACCATCTGATGAAAGGGGGCACCCTGATGGAGACATCTGATGAAAGGGGGCACACTGATGGAGACACCTGATGAAAGGGGGCACCTTGATGGAGACACCTGATGAAAGGGGGCACCCTGATGGAGACACCTGATGAAAGGGGGCACCCTGATGGAGACACCTGATGAGAGGGGGCACCCTGATGGAGACACCTGATGAAAGGGGGCACCCTGATGGAGACATCTGATGAGAGGGGGCACCCTGATGGGAACACCTGAAAGAAAGGGGGCACCCCGACGGAGACACCTGATGAAAGGGGGCACCCTGACAGGGACACCTGATGAAATGGGGCACCCCGACAGAGACACCTGATGAAATGGGGCACCCTGATGGAGACATCTGATGAAAGGGGGCACCCTGATGGGAACCTGCTATAAAGGGGGACTATGATGAGGACTCATGATGTAAAGGGGGATTCTGATAGGGCCATCTGATATAAAGGGGCACAGGTTCTTTTTAAGCACCTGAATCTAAAACTGCCTAATACAGGGGTGGGCAACTGTGCCCCTCCAGCTGCTGGTGAACTACAAGTCCCAACATGCCTCTGCCTTTGGGAATCATGCTTGTAACTGTCAGTTTTGCAATGCCTCATGGGACTTGTAGTTCTACAACAGCTGGAGGGCCACAGTTGCCCACCCCTGGCCTAATACATACTACTGTTTCCCAATCTGTGGCACTTTGTAAGACTTTCAGTGACTCACACAGTGTTGACTCTATGTCCCCTGACTTTTGTTACCTGCACCCCCAGTTTAGATCCAGCCCTGGCTGGGAAGGGTAATTTGGAGGGAGTTGTGCTAGGAGATTGGGGGGATTTATGCTAGGAGGGGGGATTTGGGGCAGATGATTTGTGCTAGGGTGGAAAATTTGAGGGGGAAGAGGATGTGTGCTAGGAGGGGAGAAGTAGAACTACAGGTGAAGCTTTTTTTTTTGGGGGGGGGGGGGGGGGGCTGGTGCAAGTCGCTAGTCTTGCCTGGGCTGCTGGCAGGGGTTCTAATACATTAGGCAATGCAGCTCTGAACATAAGTGTTGCAGCACACCACAATGCATGGGAACACATTATTATGCGTTACGGTGCGCTGTGTCTGAAAAATAATGCTGCATATATGTTTTTTTAGTCTCTTTCACCTAGTTCCTGTGGCCAGGGGGCATTGAAAATAGTTGGTTTGAGCTGCAGATTTACCCCCCCCCCCCCCCTCAAATACCTCCCTTAACCCAACGCATCGGCTGGAGGCAAAGTCAAATCAATACATTTATTTCAAGTATGAATTCTCTTTAAATGTTCCTGAATTGTTTAAAAAATACAAAACAATGAATACATAAATAGATACAACTATAAAGAAATCAACCAAGAAAGAAATCAATAAAAGTTCTAATGTTCCTGCTGGGGGGAAAATTCAAGGAATACACCAAAAACAAAATAAATAAACAAATAAAGGAAGGAATAAATGAACAAATCAATACAAGTGTGCATTATCTTCACATTTTTCAGTTTTCATAAGAACCTTAACCCCTTGCCCTTCAGAGGATTTACCCCCCCCCCCCTTCCATTTTTTGCAATACAGCGCTGCGTTACTCTAACTGACAAATTGCGCGGTCGAGCGATGCTGCACCCAAATGACATTTTTGTCCTTTTTTCCCCACTAATAGCGCTTCCTTTTTGGTGGTATTTGATCGCCTGTGCGTCTTTTATTTTTTGCTCTATAAACAAAATAAGACCAAAAATTTTGAAAAAAAAAAACCCAAACAATATTTTTGACTTTTTGCTATAAAACATGTCCAGTAAAAACATTTAAAAAATCTAATTTTGTCATAAATTTAGGTAAAATTTATCCTGCTCCGTGTCTTTGCTTATAAAAAAAATCCCAATACGTGCAAATGAATTGGTTTCTGTGAAAGTTATAGCATTTACAAATGGCGGTATACAGTAGATACTGGGATTTTTTTCATTTTTAATTTTTTATAGTAGTAATAGCGACCAGCGACTTATAGTGGGACTGCGGTGGGCATTCTGACACTGGGGGGGGGGGGGGGGGGGGGGCTGACTAACTGCCACTGACATCTCCAGTGACACTAATATAGTGATCAGTGCTAATAAAAAGCACTGAGACTGTACTAATGGCACTGGGCAGGAAGGGGTTAACATCTGGGGTGATCAAAGGATTGACTGTGTGCTGTTTTATTAGGGAGACATGCTGCTTTGTACTGCTCTGCTATACAGAGCAATACAAAGCAGCATATCGGTGCTGACAGGGGAGAGATCTATGTTGTTTGCGTACAGACCTCTGCCCTGTCACTGTTCCTCTGGGAATCTCCAGCCGGGACCTGGTGATTGGCAGCTATAGCTGCCAATGGCGGCGCGGGTAGGGCCGACAAACTGCTAGGGGAGACATACTGCTTTGCACAGCAATACAAAGCAGCATATCAGTGCTGACGAGGGGGGGGGGATTTGTTTTGTTTACATACAGACCTCTGCCCTGTCACTGTTCCTCGGTGATCACCGGGTGCCGGCGGCGAATCTCCGGCCGGGACCCGGTGATCGATAGCCATAGACACCAATGGCAGCGCGGGTAGGGACGACAAACTGCTAGGGGAGACATACTGCTTAGTATTGCTCTGCTAAGCAGAGCAATACAAAGCAGCATATCAGTGCTGACAGAGGGAGATCTGTTTTGTTTACGTGAGACCTCTGCCTTGTCACTGTTCCTCGGTGATCACCGGGTGCCGGCGGGGAATCTTCGGCTGGGACCCGTGATCAATAGCCATAGCCGCCAATGGCGGCGCGGGTAGGGCGTCAAGCATGCGCGCACGCACCCCATAACCAGAAAAAAATCATGTATTTATATGTGATTTTGTGCAGCCGTGCCACTCTGTAGCAGTAAATCTTCTATAGGGCGGCAGGTATGAACACACCAAAAAGTAAATAAACAAACAAATAAATATGCAGCCATAGGAAGCATGGGTCCGTGTTTGACCTGCTGATCACATGCCTTTTGTTAAGTAAACAAATCAACGTGAACCATATCTACATAACAATGATGGAAGAGAGACCCCCATATAAGACTTGGGACTTTACACCGTGTTCCAAATTATTATGCAAATGATATTTTTTCTCATTTCCCTCAATAATTGATGTAAATAACAGTCGGCATAATTCTCAGGTTACAACTATAAGAGGACAATTCACATTTTATTGAACAAACCTCATAATGATAACAGGATTTTTGTTCCAAATTATTCCGCACAGGAAGTTTCCAAAACACTTTATAGGTTGTAAAGAACTGAAAATTGTCATTTGTTGTGTTTGCAGCAAATTTACTGAAATCAAAAGCTATTTCAATCAAACTTTTAACAACATTGTAACTTTGTAAACATTTGAAGCGGTCACGTTACATTGTAACATAGGAGCCCTTATCTGATAGCAGATCACAAGTCTCGCATCCATTGAACTTGTGAGTTTTTGGACAGTTTCTGCTTGAATTTGTTTGCAAGATGTCAGAATAGCCTCCCAGAGCTGCTGTTTGGATGTAAACTGCCTCCCACCCTCATAGATCTTTTGCTTGAGGATGCTCCAAAGGTTCTCTCATAGGATTGAGGTCAGGGGAGGATGGAGGCCACACCATGACTTTCTCTCCTTTTATCCCCATAGCAGCCATTGATGCAGAGGTATTCTTTGCAGCATGAGATGGGGCATTGTCATGCATGAAGATGATTTTATTACGGAAAGCATAGTTCTTCCTTCTGTACCAGGGAAGAAAGTGGTCAGTCATAAACTCCACATACTTTGCAGAGGTCATCTTTACACCTTTGGGGACCCTAAAGGGGCCGACCAGCTCTGTTCCCATGATTCCGGCCCAAAACATGACTCCACCACCGCCTTGCTGACGTCGCAGCCTTGTTGGAACAGGGTGGCCGTCCACCAACCATCCACTACTCCGTCCATCTGGACCATCCAGGGTTGCATGGCACTCATCAGTGAACAGGACTGTTTGAAAATTAGTCTTCATGTATTTTTCTGCCCAATGCAGCCGTTTCTGCTTGTGAGCATTGGTTAGTGGTGGCCGAATAGAAGGTTTATGCACAGTGGCAAGACTCTGGAGGACGCTACACCTTGATGTCTGTGGGACTCCAGAGGTACCAGCAGCTTCAAATATCTGTTTGCTGCTATGTAACAGCTTCCCTGTCAGAGTATTGATTTCATGATAAAGATACCCAGCATGACTATACTTGATTAGCCATTTAAAAATATTGTGACATCGCCATCAACACATATTATTACAGAGATAGATCCTATATGGTCCAATACGTTTCGGAGTGACTTCACTCCTTCTTCAGGGAAAAAGAAAAAGCTCTGCATATGGATGACGTCATCTACAAGATTGAACATATATTTGTTTGGAATCAGTTAACAATATTTTTACAACTTACAATCTGTAGATATACTCACAATACATGAAAGTGCAAAACAATAGTTGAGTTTTCAACCCAATTTAAAAGACATAGTACTTCAAAATGTCGCCGCCTCATATGGCTCTGGGACCAATTTGACACCGGACGCACCAAACCCCCCCCCCCCCCTTCCCAGAAACGGATCACAAGGGCACACCCAGAACACTGCAATAAAATAATGCAAATATATATGCAACCATAGGAAGTATGAGTCCATGTTTGTCCTGCTGATCACATGCCTTTTGTTAAGTAAACAATCAATGTAAACTATATCTACATAAAAAAGGAATTTCATACCTCTCATGTTTACAAAGAATAGTCATGTGATTAGTGCTTGGACCTAGCTATGTAGTTGGTAAGGTTGAAAAAAAGACATCAGACCAAGTGGCCTCCGCCTTGGCAGGCTCTCTGGGTAGATTTGTTTGTTGGGT